CCTTCTGGCTGCTGAGTGCACTCCGAGATGCGTAGGTGGAGTTGACAGGATAGCATCAGCTGTCGGTGGTGAAGCTACCATGCTAAGTACATCTAAGCACATTATTCATGTAGCTGAAGTTGCGTAACAGATTGACAGCCGCGGCGGTGTAGACTAGGCTTCAGCCAGATGCGTTATTGTAGCTGATAAATGAACATTTTCAGCAGCCTACTAGGCCCATGTGTTGGAGGAATGGATTTGGAGGGTGATCTACATCAAGGTACCCCCTCCCCCACCTCCATCTTTAAAGGTGTCCGGATCCTGAGGTTTTTAGGAATCATGTTGTAAGTTCCAGTTAAAATGTCAAAGTGGATCTTAAGCAAGGTTCTCGCTAAGCCAAGGGGTAGCATGGCCCCACAGCTGCTTAATGAACCCCACCCAGCCAGGGGCTGAGGGCTCTGCACACAAAGCTGCCTGGCTGGGGATACTGGCTGGGACAGACTCGCTGCTCTGTCCTCAGCGGGGAGCTGCTGCTGTAGCTGAGGGAGAAGTGCTCCTCTCCCAGGGAGGAAACACAGATGGTGGCATAGCTGGAGGGCTGAGTCATGACGAGGAGGCTGTGGTACTTGGACTAAGGCAGGTCTGCCCTGGAGTAGACAATGGGAGAGGCACCACAAGGAGCAGACTCAACAGCTGGCATAACTCATCCCTGTAACAAAGAGCAGGAGATGCTGCTGTGATGGAGACCCAGTCACGCCCACCTGGAGGGATAATGAGAGACAAGCAAGATTCCACTCTGATAACTTACAATGAAGGTGCCAAGGTGCAAGAACCCTGCCCCATATGGAGAACAACTCTCTCATGCTAGCAGTCACAGCCTTCCTAAAGAACAAGTACTTCAGGCCTGGGAAGATCTGGGCAATCTGCCAGGAGAGAAGCCGATAAGGATGGTGCTTGGCGGGACAGCTGTACAGCTGAGTCCAGCTCCCTGTTTGCATATTATTTCGGTCTGTTGCTTTTCAGTTGCTCCTTGTCCTCTTTAGAACGGCCCTACTCTCAGAGCTGACCCATCTCCCTCTGCCCTCAGTCTTTTTTTCTCAAGACCAAGCAATTGTTCTCCATGTCCACTGATGGCAGGACAAGAAGTAATGGTCTTAACATGCACCAAGAGAGATTGAGGTTGGATAGTAGGAATTCATTCTACATGTCAGAATAGCAACACACTGGAAAGGAGGTTGTGGAATTCTCATCAGCGGAGGTTTGTGAGAACAGATTAGACCCTGATATTGGGAAATCACGTGGGTTATCAGCTGCTACTTTGTCTTAACTATTTGGCTATGTCTACACTGCAGGCTTTTTGCGCAAGAACAATTGTTCTTGCACAAAAACTTACAGAGCGTCTACACTGCACGCGCGTTCTTGCGCAAGTAAATTTACAGGACAGTGTCAGAAAACAGGGCTTTTTCTGGAAGAGTTATTCCTCTCCCCATGAGGAATAAGCCCTCTTGCACAAGAGCTCTTCCACAAGAAGACAGTGTAGACAGGCAACATGAATTTCTTGTGCGAGAAACCCTATGGCTAAAATGGCCATCAGAGCTTTCTTGCACAAGAGAGCATCCACACTGCCATGGATGCTCTTGAGCAAAAGCACATCTCTTGCGCAAAAGCACATGGCAGTGTGGACTCGCTCTTGTGGAAGACCTTTTGCACGAGAACTCTTGCGCAAAACAGTTCTTGCTCAAGAAGCCTTTGTGTATAAAAGAGACTGTCACTTTAAGAGCAAGTGCTCATGGGATTTCTCTAGTGGGTATAAAAAATTTGACTGGAGAACAAGGTTGGATAGTCAGCAGGGAGAGCGCTCTAGCAGTGCTGCTGTTGTGTATTTTACCCTTTACAGGGAAACAGAATGTACATATTCTCCACTGAGACCAGAGCAGATGGCTGGAGTCTAGCTCCGTTTTTGCTCTTGGCAGTATATTGTTTTGGTTTACAATTAGCCCCCATTCAAATATTACATTTCTGATCCTGGGAGTTCTCATGAGCCAGATCTAACCACCATGAGTGTCATGCTATTGTCAACTTGTGCAGAGGGGTGAGCTCCATGACCCCCCATCTCATGGGGTAATGTCAACAGAAAGGCCCAGGATGGACCAAACTTGAAACATCCCCCTTCCCTCTCAGTGTCCTGTGGTGGACACTTTCCTCTTTAGTCATTAGGTCCAAACCCTCATCCTTTGTGTTGGACTGGGGAAGCAGGAGTTTGCCCAGAAACTATCCCAGTATCAATTCCTCCCTCGTTGGTCAGGTCACCCTCTTCCCCCAAAGGCCATGGCTGATTCTTGAGTGTGATTAGAACGTGGTGGTCAACATTTTCTGTTCTGAGAAAAATGCAGATTTGGTGACAAACACTTTGGGGGATTTGTGTAGGTTTTGCCAAATTGTGTCGGTCAGAGGTGGGGGAAAAAACCCAATCCACACCTAAACCACGATCTGAAAAATCAAAAGGATTTGCTGTTTCCGTTCCGGGGGTCTGTGCTTTTGTGATGAAATCACTCCAGCCTGTCTGAAAATGGCTGGCATCAAAATGCACCATTCTGTGGAGCAGCTGTGCAGGGAGAAAAGCGGAGGGGAACGCTGGCACCAGGCCGGGAGAGGGGAGTTTCGGGTCTGGGCTGGGTGCTGCTCCAAAGGGGATCCCAGCTGGAAAAGCAAAGGCCCCCCAGGGGCCAGGGATAGAATAGACCAAGCTCTAGGAGCAGGGCAGAGTGAGCCTTGTCAACAGTGTGCTGAGGCCGTGGGTCACAGCCCTGGAGAGGCAGGGGGGGCAGATCAGCCTTCCCAGAGGAAAGGGAGAGGGATTGGGGGGGATCCAGGAGCAGTAAAGCCGGCCCCAGGCTCCAGCCGAGGTGTTGCACAAACCCCTAGGCAGTTCCCACCATCCCGCTTCTGCCCCATCACTGGGCCTGGGGCCTTTCTGGCCCCGCATCAGCCCCTTTCGGGCCCCTTTTTGGCAGGTGTCGGGGGGCAGATCAGCCTTCCCAGAGGAAAGGGAGAGGGATTGGGGGGGATCCAGGAGCAGTAAAGCCGGCCCCAGGCTCCAGCCGAGGTGTTGCACAAACCCCTAGGCAGTTCCCACCATCCCGCTTCTGCCCCATCACTGGGCCTGGGGCCTTTCTGGCCCCGCATCAGCCCCTTTCGGGCCCCTTTTTGGCAGGTGTCAGCGCCTCGCTGTCTGGCTTGAACTGCGGGGCAGCCCCCCTACCGCTCGCCCCC